GGGAAAGAGCTGTCTTTGTCTCCACCAAGTCGTCATCTCGCCGTCCCCTCCAGCCCACCTGAAACTCTTTGCTGGCCCCAAGTTTTGGTGTGGTGGAAGAGTGCAACCAGCCCAGGCCTGTCCTTGGCACTGCCCTGGATGTTTTGCTTTCAAGCTAGTCCTTGTGGGGTGTGTTGTTTTTTTTTTTTATGGCCTCAGATGCGATGCCTGGAAGGGAAGAAGCATCAGGGGGGAGATCTGAGAGCTGGGTTCACCTCAGCTGGTGCCAGTTTGTTGCTTCCTTGATTTTTTTTTTTTTTTTTTTCCCCAGGCAGCTCTTTCTGGCACAGCACCTCCCAAATGCTTATTTGCTCCAGAGGTGGAATTAGGCCTTTCTGCTCCTTTCCAGCACCTAGGTAACGCTAGCACCTGCATAGCACGTATACCTTGGGCTGCTCCAGTCTGTCAGCAGTGTATAATGGTATGCAAATCCTCATCAGCCCTGTGCACGGCTTAATTACTGGTGAGCATGGAGCAGAAGGGCTCTCCTGCACTGCAGACGGCTGTCTGCCTGCTCAGCAACTAAGACTAAAGGATTCACACTTACAGCCCTTGGGTTTAGAGTGGGTAAGAGTATTTTGGATAAGGGCTAATGTGTTGGGAACCCCGTCTTCGCTCAGTGCTGCTCCTTTCAGATTTTTGCCTGGGGTCTGACTGGCTTCTCCCACGTGCCTTTTGCTTGCAGAGCCAAGAGGATTCATTGCACTCAGTGCAGCGGGCGGCTGGGTGTTTGCTGCCTTTCCCTCTCCCAAGCTATTGCACAGGCTAATTTAGCTGGCATCCAGAATTAAGAGCATCAAAGAGGCAAGGTAATCCAGCGAAGTGTGGCGGGGGGGCATTCTCCAGGGGGGCGCCGGCGGGGTTGGGAGCAGCGAGGGCAGTGTGCGAGGCACACGCTTCGCATGGCAAAGCCCATGCAGAAACCCGGGTCACCCCGGCACAAAGCCACAGCCCACCCAGGGTTTCTCAGCATCTGTGCAGGCAGCCCCCCGCCTGCTTCTCATCCTCCGTCACGCTGGGCAGCAGCAGAATTACACTCCAGTGCTGCCTGGAGTTGCTGCCTTTGCTTTTGGCCTGGGCAAGACAGGACATGTGCTAACGGCTTGCTCTTTGTACCTGCCTGCTTTGAACTGCGGTGGGGCACAGCCCCCATCCTGGCTGCAGCTGCCTGGCACCGGGTTCCTGCAGGAGAAGGGCTGATCCCAGCTCGAGTGGGAGAAGGTACCCAAGGGAAGAGCTGCCTTGCCTTTAGCTGGGGTGTGCTATTTGCAGCAGTGCCTGTCACCATGCCAGATGAGCGCTGAAGCTGCCGTGTCTGGTGTTACATGGTGGGGCTGGCCCAGAGGCTCCCAGAAAACCTCTCAGCCTTTTTCAGGTCTGAAGCCTGGAAGTATGGGTTTTGTTCCTAAGTTGGCAGCTTGTGCGCAACTTCAGGCAGGGCAGAGGGCAAGGCTTCTTCGTTCTTCTAGAAGATGACTAAAAGCCTTAACAGCGGGTGGGTTAACATGGGGGCCCTTGCTTGGTGGTATTACTGCGCTAGGAACCTGGTGCTCTTCTGCAATTAGAGCTTATCCCATTTTTCACCAGGCCCCTTTGAACATGTACTTAAATGATGGAATAGCTGTGGAGGTCTGGTCAGGTCCAGATGTCTCAGGACTGACGTATGAGCTTTTCTCTCCCATATCATTCAAGCGCCCCACACCCTGTTACAGAGGGATTGGGGCTCCAGTGACATCACAGCTGAGTCAACTGACAAAATTGCTTACAAGTCCTTAAAGTCGCTGATTAAGTGCTGGAACAGATCTCATGCCATTTGGTCAGTGAGGGCTTCCACAGGAGCATTTTCCTAAGCCAGCAGAGATGGTGACTCCAAAACAGATGAGCACGTCATGCTTGCTGAAGGCTTTGGCAAGCATCTGGGTTGAGTTTGCAGGAGCTGGCAGCAATGACTCATTGCTGGAGAGGACCTGAGAGGAGAGATGGGGGGTAGCTGAGTGAAAGGCTGTTTTGCAGAGCAGACCTGGCTCGATGCTGGCCTTGTCTTGCTCACTGGCAGTGTGGTTGGGTAAGGAGGAGTAGACTAGGTTTCCCTTCTGGACTACAGTCCAGTCCACTGCTGCAGACCACTCCAGTGCAAGCGGTACTTCCATGTCACTTCTCCTTGACTCCATCAGGAGCTATAAAGCTAAGCAAAGGCACCCAAGAACGAGCTTTTGCAAGCAGCTGCCTGCCTGAGGGATACCCCAGTAGCAGGGCTCTGGCATGGACTGGGCCAAGTGGCCTCCAGGGCACCAGAGTGGCCAAGGCTCTTAATGGGGTGGTTGGAAGCAGGGCCTTGTGGTATTGCACCCCATCCATCCGCAGGTAGCTCTAGGGACCTCATACCAGTTTTGGAGCAAAGATGGAAGTTACTTACAGTTAGCCTTTCTCAGTGTCTTGGGAAGAGTCTGTTTTACTTTACAGAATAGGGCTAAATAAGCCAGGCTTAAGTGACTCCAATACCTTGGACTTGTGGCTTTATGTGTGCCTTCAACGCCATCTCCATCCGTATCTTGGGCTCTTTTGTAACTGCTGCCAGTGAGTAGGGATGCTCATGCAGTGGGATCAGCTGCTGTGTCTCCTGGCGAGATGTTGACCGAGTTTTTTCAGCTCTGGTTTTCTTATCTCCAGTGCTGTTGTGGTGCCCACATCCATTTAGGTGAGTGATTGCCTCGCAACCATGAGGATGCAGATGTAGGCCCTGGGGGCTTCCTTGGCTGCTGAGGTTGTAGGATTTGGGAGATGGTTTGGGAAGGTGTCAGACCTGTGTCTCTTCAGCTGCCGGGTTGTTATTTTTTCCGTGTGCTGGTTTATACGCAATGATGTCCTGTAGGAAGGGGGTGGCATTGCTCAGAGGATGGTGTGACAGCAAACATCCTAGCCACCAGCAACTGGTGGTAACTGGGACAAGCAGATGGGGCTGGCCCGATGCACAGCTCTGTTCCCCCTATGGCAGGTGAGCCTTGCTCTCTCTGCGGGTTGAGCACAGGGTCTGTGGTTTAGCAGAGCTAAGGTACTGGCCCCAGCCAAGGCTGCTGGGGCTGGGGGCTGCAGGCTCTGCCTGCCCTTGCTCTGCTCCCCAGCTCCAGCCACTGCTGCCGCAGCCCATCTGCAGCACCAAAGAGCACACAGCATGCACAGCACCAGGCGTGCAGCACAGCAGGCTGAAGTGGGCAAGAGTCCCAGGCCCAGCTGAACTCTGGCACTGCCTCTGCCAAATAGGCTGGGGCGCAGAGCTCCAGACACAGCACACCCATCTCTCTCCCCGCACTGCATCCTGGGACCAGAGCCTACAACAGCCCAAAGCCTTGCTCCCTCCCTCGGCTTGGCTCTGCTCCAGGCTCCACTTAGCATCAGTTATTCAGTGCTGACTCGCTGAGGTATGGCGGAGGTGTGCAGCAAGGTTGCTGAGCTCTTGGTGGTGTTGGGCAGGGAGGATAAGGAGAGCGGCTGTGGCTGGGCAGAGAGCTGCCGAGTGACCGGGCAAGACGTGGCTGCCTGCCTGTCCCAGCTCCTGGTGCTGCTGCGTTGCCTGTTCATGGGACAGGAGCCGTAGGGGGCTGCCAAGGCACCAGAGCAGGGCTTGTCGGTCTGCGTTGGAGGGGTTTCTGGGCAAGGACCAGCCCTGGCAGCCGGCGAGCTGGTGTTAAGGGTTGTCTGAAAGCTGTGCCAAGAGCAGTGGCTTCATCAGGGAAAGGGGGGGGATTTAATGGGAATACTGGTGAATGCGAAGAGTGGAGGTAGAGACAGTGGGAGGACCAGTCCCTGCTCACAAGGCCATTAGGATTTAAGCAGCAGCCTTAATACCTTCTGCAGTGTTCATTTGCCACTGGTCCCAGTGCTGTACAGCAAATGGGTATGAGTAAGCTTGGATTTGGGACTACACAGCTGTCCTGCTCTTGGTCCCCTGACAGCAGCACCCAGGTCCTTGCGGGCATAAGAGGGGGTGAGTGGTGCTGCTCGCCTGTTGCAGTGGCTGTCTGCACTCCCATCCCCCTGAGGACACCAGTACCTCCCGTGCTGGGACTTCCTGCAGCAGGAAAGCATGCTGGTGACTTGCTGTTGCTGGCACCAGCTGGAGGCTGGGCATTTGGCCTAGGCTGGACAGTAGGCATGGCTTGTGTCTACCCTGAGGTCTTCCACTTCTGCAGTAAGGGATGGAGGTCCTAGGCTTACGGGGCGGGCAAGTCCCAGGGGTGGCCTCCCGCTGGGGAGGACTCTCTGCAGTGGGTGCTTGACATGTTGTCACTGAGCTGAGCCCCCAGACCCTACCTGGTACCCCTGTTCAGCACCCATTCAGGGCTGGGTACCGCTGTGGCTCCTGCGTTAGCCGGAGGATGCTCTCATGGCATGGGGGGGGAACCCCCCCTGCCCCAGCCAGTCCATGGCCAGGCGCATGCATGGGGCGCGGGGCCCAAGGATGACAGTTAAGCAACATCTTACTCCATTTTTTATTTATTTTTCTTTTTTCCTATGACCAATCCAACCGACACTGTTTCAGAGAGGAACAGGACTCTGCCTGCCATGTCCCTCCAACCCAGCACGATTTGCCTTCCCTGGGGGAAACCCTGCCTTTCTGGACACTTCTGCTCCTTCCCTGGCAGGGTGGAGCTGAAGCTGTCCCAGCGGTTGGATAAATGCTGTATCCTAAACCTCACGATGCCTGTCACGTAGGTAACTGCCGCAGTGGTTCAAAGCCGGTCCCAACCAACTGCTTCCTCTGCGCTGCCTGAAAGCCAGCAGATTCCCCAGGGCTGTTGGCCAGCAGGTG